ATTTTGTCCTCAAAGTTGATCTTACGACTTTGACCACAGACAAATTGTAAGACGACTGGGTCAGAGCATCTCCAAAACAAAGTTTTCTAAACAAGGAAATTAAGTTAAGTTCAATATATGCATTTTATATATGTATACATGTACATACAGTATGTATACGTACATTTCATGATTATATATATGTAATACACAGAATACTGTCTGATTATATATTAAGTCAGTTATTTGTACAGTAATGTCAGTCCAGTGGTTATTGCGGAGAAACCAAGGCAAATTCCTCATATGTGAAAACCTACTTGGCAATTTTTTGATTATAATTCAATTTGATTCTGATTCTGAATGGTTTGATGAGTAAAATTATGTGAATCATATGCTGTGCACTTCAGAGTCACCAGACCTACTGTACATGGACAGTGCTCTTCATCAAAACACCATATTACGAAATGCCTTCATTTTGTCTTTCTTAAGAATAGGAAGCCTGGCAATTTTGGGCTTAGAAAAATAAATGTTTTATTGACAAAGTTGATTCAACCAAGCTACAATTAAAACATGATTTAAATCCAAAAAGAATATAACCCACAATGACATGAAAAGACACCCATTTAGGTTTTATTACCAGACAGACAATACTACACTACCAAATGCAAAGAAACAGAATTATCTAAATTGTTGCACAGGCACGTGCCAAAGACCAAACAGAAATTGTAAAAGAAAAAAAAACTGTGACGTCAAAAAGGGGTTGGCTTCCTGTGATGCAGTGATAAGTAAAACCTCATTTCCAAATTTCTTTCACTCTATGAGAGATCAACATCATCAGAACATCCCCTGAGGTAATGGCATTTTTCCATCCACTACACATCATAGCACATATGACAACTGTTGATTTTCTTGTCTTCTTTAGAAATAATAATTAAAATAAAACTTTAGGTTTATCAGTACATTTGTGAATTTGTCATATTCAAATCACAGGTGAATGTTACAGAAAGATAAAGTCATCTGAATATTGGTGTATACTGGACTGATATATATATATATATATGAAAAGACATTCAAGAAAGAGACTATAAGACAAAATATTTGTATTCATATCCACAGGGCGATACTCCTATCCCTAGAGATATGAAGTGTCTGCAGCTCCTGTTTGTGTGTTGGTGCTCTAATATCCTGGTGGTGACCACCTGTGTCCGAGGTACTGCTCACTTGTCCAGACACATGCTTTGCTCTGAACTTATTCTGTGGGAAATGTTTAAGTAAGGCAGCTTGTGGCATAGCTCATCATGTGGCCTATATGTACATGATTAAAATCTCTTCTTTGTATGATTAATTGTGTACAGATTACTTTACTGTCATACATTCCAGTCATCAACCACAGTAGGATGTTCAAGGGAAGTTATAGAAATGTCAAGTAGTAAGTCATATCATCTTGTAATCCAATACATTTATTCATGTACTGTACTTAAAAAAAAAAAAAATCAAAGTACCTTGCAAGTACCTTGCTTGAGCACTTGCATTTTATAACTTTATACTTCTATTACAGTAAGTTTAAGAGAAATACATTTTTCAGTCCACCACATTTATCTGACAGTTGAAGTTGCTGGTTACTTTACAAATCAAGTGATTAAGTCCTTCAAAAAAACCCAACCCAAGTCTTGATTAATGGCCCTTTAGCAGCATTGAGCAGCATTTACCCTCTAAACTTTTCAGAAGGTTTTGTTTAAAATAACTGGTCATGGCTCACATAGTTTAATCATCCAATGTTTCATAATAAAGAAAAGATAACACAATCTTTCTAATATCAATATAAACAACTTATTTTTTCCTAGCCCACATATAATTGTGTGACTTTGTTAAATGTATTTTTGCATTATCATGAATTGCATCAAAATGTACATAACAATGATCTTTTCTTCCCACCTTTGTAGTTGATGGATATTCATGTGTGAGTGCCTATTGGAAAACAATTAGTTGTGTCATTAACATCACGGATAGTCCTGCAAAACAGTCCCACTACAGCCTGAATTTCACTGACTTAATAGGGTAATGGCACTTCTTTCAGAATTACATGATGTTGAAATTTTTGATTATTTGTACTTATTAAGTTTGTGTTTGTGCCAAAACATATGGTAATGTTCTGTCATTGTTTTTTGAATCTTTAGGAAATACAACTCTTCTTGCCTACTTGTGGTGATGAATCACAGTTACAGCTGTGTCTGTAGAGTCACTGAGAGTGGGTTTATGAGTGAAAGTACTTATAGCATAAGACTTTGTCATGAATCTGGCTGCTATCCTGTGACAGAACACTTTCAACCATCATCCAACAGTAAGTATTATTTAATTGTGATTCTTACTAACTGTGTGTGTCTGAGTGATTTTCATGTGTTGATGTTTGTTTTTCATACAATACATAAAATGACACATAACGTTTGAGAAATTGTGATATTTCCAAAGTACAGTATGTTTATTATTCAGGATAAACACTAAACAACAAATATTAGGTCATTTCTTTGCTAAATGTAGCCTATTGATGTAGATGTGATTCGATAAATGTCTGTCATCAGTGCAGCTGACACCCCCGCCTGCAGCTAAGGTCCAGCAAACACCAGAGACTTTCAACATTACTTGGACAAGTGGGTATGAAGAACATGTGTTCTTCGAAAATTTCTACCTTAACTACGAACTCCTACTTCAAAGATCTCAAAGCATGGAAAGCAAAGTAAGATCCACTGTTATACAGACATGCTTCGACAACACATTTTGCTATAGTAAGAAATAGCAATAATCTTTATTTGATTGTTTCAACCTTTTCTCAGACTTTTTCATCCAGGTCACATGAGATGTCAATTCAAAGATCGGTACTTAAACCAGATGCTACATATTGTATTAAAGTGAGATCTAAATCTGAAAACCGTGATTATGAAGGACATTGGAGTAAATGGAGTCCATCAACATGCTGGAAAAATGAAGCAGGAGAAGGTAAAGTCGCACTTTTTTCTTTAGCTCAAAGGCTGTTGTATACTGTATGAATGACATTGAGTCATTCAGAGTTTTAAAGATGATACAGATAATTCACCTAATACACTTCCTGTCATTTCTGTAGCATGACTCACTAATTCTGTATAATTTCATTATGATTTCTCAGTACAAGATAACATATTAGTCATTTTGGCCAAATCTGTTGGCTCTGTGTGCGTGACTGTTGGAGTCCTGCTGTTTGTGTTCTACAGCCCTGCTGCAAGGTAGTTCATTTATATTTTAAAATGTTGGCGAAAGGGGAGATTTCATATTGTCGTAATTGACGTAATCTGCCCTGGATAAGGGTTGCAAGCCTCAAAAGTCTAATGTCATTTGATCGTTGTGATCTTTCATGATTTGTACCACAGAATGAAGATAAAAACTCTGTCTCACACGCCATCGCCAGCCCCTTTCTTCCAACCTCTTTTTCAACAACATGGAGGCAATCTCCAGGTGAGGTGGTAATGCAATGTACTCTTATTCATTCTATGTCTTATTATATTATTTTAGGAAATCAGGCCAGCTCTGCTTTTCTGCAGTTTTTTCGTTAACAGCAGTTATCAGGTTCAGTCTATAAATCTGTTGTCAACAGTAATCATATTCAAGTCCTAAAGGATTTCATTTTGTTTAGTTTAATTTCAACTTTACTACAGTGGAAGTATTCTTGCAAAAATAGTGAACAGAAATACAAAAAAGGAGACAACATGATGTACAGTGCATAAGAAAGCACAACCCATTAGTACTCAATGGAGATCTCTGTTAGGTGTGTCTGGACTCCGAGGGTAATCTGGTGGCGAACAAGGTGCACAGGGCAGCCTATATGCGTGAGAGTAGTGGAATAAAAGGGAGACAATAAGCAGGATACATTATCAAGGTGTAACCAGAGTAGACAGGCTATATGGAGACAAATCGTGGACAATTGCTAAACACCAGTCATGTCAGTTTCAAAGTGAAAATGGCAACAAAATAATCTGCCAACACGTGGTGGAAACAAGATACAGAGATACATGCATACACACAACAACACGCATGATCCCCTCCAGGCTTATGACTTACAGAGATCCACTAAAGCACATTTTTAAGCTATTATATATTAGCTATCAACACAGACACTAACTAATTGACTAACTGTCTGTGTCAATATAAGACGAAAACAGAGATTGCCAACTAGCATCCTGGTTACCAAAAGAGTGGTGTAATAATCTGTAAGCGAATTATCAGCATGGTTAAACAAGATTCTACAGCCACGTCAACATCTAAGGTTCTGCACTGTGGTTCTTTGAGCTAAATGTTAACTTCAGCATGCTACAGTATAGTCAGTCTGTGTGATTCATTGTCTGGGGACGATGAATGTCTGTACAAAGTGTTCTGCCAGTTTATCAAGTAGATTTTGAGATATTTCATAAGTAACGTAAAACCTTTGATCTGCTTCTCCATAAACCAAATTTCATGGTAATCCATCATGTCGTGAAATATTTTAGTCCTGACCAAAGTGGTGGACTGACCGACTGACCAACATTGAAGTCATCCATTGTATGATGGGGGATTAACAACCGATTAGTAATTAGTTTTCATATAAGTTATGAGTAATGTGCCATATGAGTCATGCAACTTTGTCACACCTAATGAATATCAATGCTACTTAATTTTCAGAATTGGCTTTCTCCTCAAGGCAAATTTGTGCTAACATACAAAACTGAGGAAATCTTGACAACCGATGCTGTGATTATTGTGCCGAAACCCATTACGAAGGACCCAGACGAGAACCAGGACTTCCACAACCCTTCAGTAACACAACTGCCACTCACTCAGTGTCATACCTCCTATGTTGGTTTACCTGCGATACATGAGCCCTCCCTGCCTTCAACTATGGTCTGTCTAGGGGACATGCCTTACACTCAGCTCCCTTGCTCTGTCTTGGGGGTTGGCTTTGGAGAAGTAGAAGTTGCCTCCTCTCCACCTAAAGATGTCTTCAACATCAGTCATGCAGACTCTGGGTGCAGCTGTGAGGACCTGACCCAAAGCCCAGAGTGCAGTTTACCAAACAGTCCAGTTGATGACAGTCCACCACCATGTTACAGTAATGATTACTGCATTCTCAACAAAACAGCAGAGGGTTTTGCTCCTGTTTTAGTGTCCAAAGAAAGTAGCTTAAATATTCCATCTGATACTGCGCAAGAGGATAAGAGCTAGAAATAAGAAAATATCCTGATTCACATGACTTGTGATGCTGATCACAATGGCTGTATACTGCATTGCAGGAAATCATCGCAATTAGACTTAATGCTTGCATATTTACGTTGTATGTTATGTGTTCCAGATAGCACTTCCTATTTAGCCAGTACAGGTTTTGTGTGTTTTTATGCCTTTAATTTCCAACAGTATCTCTAAACTATTTGTAACTCATTAGCTCTCTTTTTATAAAACATTAGACAACACATTACCACATACCACATATGATAGGCTTACACTTGACACGTTTGCCATGTTGACCGCAGAATGTGATAATGTGTATGTCTATCAACTATGATTTATTTTTTTAAATGCATAATCAGAAGTTTTTTATTTCTCTGTTTGTTTTTTACCTTTGCTTTAAGTAATCTCTGAATTTCAAACTACAACAAAGTCAAAGAAGTTGCTTTGTAACTGTTTTATTAGCTGCAGAGAGATGCTTTTAGATATTTGATGGACCATCATAATTGGTGGTATTGATCAGTGCAATGGAAACTACTTATTGCCTGAGGCCAGTTGGCAGTGCTCCTAAAATAAATGCAATGGGTCAAATGCTTAAGATATAGGGTTATTTCCCCAAGGGGATCAATAAAAAACAATCCCAACAATGTTCCTCTCCTTGTTTCTCCATCATGCCATAGCTATACTCACTGCTCTACTAAAACAGGGAGTGGACATATGTTGAGTACTTGCACGTAGCATGGCCATCTTCTGCTGTAGGTCATGAACCAAACCCTGCAGGTCCACAACAATCCAGCAGTTGGCGGTAGTGCAGGTTTTTAGCCTGCCAACCTCAACGACACAACAGTAGAAGAAGAAGAGGTTCTCCTCTCTTTAATATCAGTGATTCTTTTTGTCTCCTTTGTGTTTTATTTGGCCTGAAGTGTGGAGACAGACACTAAACTGTGACTGCGGATCATTTCTCCAGAATACTTTTTGTGTCGTTGTGAGTGTGAGTGAAAACAAACAGTAACGAGCAAAGTCTGCAGCTCAGCGAGTGAATGGCTTACAATGAGTAATAATAATCAGAGTCACGACCTATGTGGGTTGCCCCCGAGTTTGCACAACGAGGACGAGGCTCTGGCCATAGAAAACGCCATCAGGGCGGCTATAAGCACGGTGCTGGGCGTGATGTGCAGCGCCTGCAGCCGCAGAGCGCAGGAGTACCAGAGGATGGTGGCGGACCGGGACAGAGAGATCCGGAGACTGGAGAGCAAGTTGGAGGAAAGTAAAAGTGAGCTGCAGAAGTTGCATGTGGAGGTCGGCAGGGGGCAGCCCGAGGGTGAGCTTTCCTCTTCGCTTACGACTCGTGAAAGGGTAATAAACTGTGTGAACAGCTCTGATACCGACATGAAAAACGAGTCTGAAATTAATCGTTGTGGTAACAGTACCATATTAAACGTATATGAGTTCACTGTCAAGAGATAAGAAGTGACAGGACGTCTCCTCTGCAGCGCAAACTAGTGTGTGGTCAGGAAGTTCACCCACTCATTTTTCTATTCATTTATCTGTTCATCAGGTCGAGTAGGTGCACCTACACACATTTCACCCAAGTGCTGTGACACAACGGTGGCCTTTCCCCACCAACATGCCCACACTGCTGAGAAACCCTTATGGGAAGATGAAAGAGCAGTTGGAGACCTGCCCTTTGGATGCATCGCCTCCCCGATCAAAGAGGAACCTTCTGACCTGGAGATTAAATGGGAAGTGTCTGACGGGGGGTTGTTGGACCAACAGGAGGTGCAGTGTGGAGCTGAATTTCAGCACAAAGAAAAAACTGCAAGCAAAGGTAAGCTCGGCCACTGCTGGTATCTTACAGTGTTAGTGGAGTGAGTAATACAAGTGATGAATAACTTTAACCTTTCTGCAAAGTCAAACCTGCAAAACACTGATGAGGCTGTTGAAAATACTTCTAAATGCAATAAATGCATAATCTAAAATCAGTTGATTTTGGGCATGATAGGTTGAGAATTAGCAGGTGGTACAACCTCTCTCCCACACAGCTACAGGTTTTAGTCACATGCGGTTGGTAAATTGGTAATTTTTCCCACAAGTAACCTGGGGAAAAAGATGAGGGGTCTCGGACTCTCGGTATGCTTCTAACAAAGTCAGATCTTATCAGAACATCTAGCAGCACCTGAAACTTCAACTTCATGGGGTTAAAAAAAAAACGTTTTTATCAGTCTGGGTTTGAATTTCTCTCTCAAGCTCACATTTTTTTCATTCTTCACACAATTACTTCCGCCACCTGCAACTTCTTCCGTCATGTTTACAAGCGAGTGTAACACCATGAAAGCCTTCAAGGAGAGAGGCTTTTCGCCCCGCCAGGTATGAACAGTTTTGCCATTAGACATATTTTTGTTTCAGACATAGTGAACCTTTGAATCCTTGGACGCTCAGGGGTGCCTTTCAGTGTGAAATCAGCAGAGTTCAGAAAGTGTTACTAAAAGAAAGAAACCAAATATGAAAGAGGTTGGAAAGCAAAAGTTTATTGCTGTGTCCCAATACCATACTTTGTCATATATATAGTATATACCACACTAAGATAGTATACTGTATATGCAGTTAGTATACTATTTAATACTTTATTATGAGTTTTGACACATTTAATTTTGGGATTTGTACCAATATCTAGAGAACAAGATTTGTAGGCTAGGGTGTCTCTGCAGCACTGCATTACTTATTATTATATTTATATATATTTATATTATAATGCTGTTTTGACCCACATTTTATCTTTATCAAAAAATGTCTTCTTCTGTAATTTTGATATTGCCCTTAATAATATTACTATATACTCCCAAACTGGTTTATAATTACTATGGAGTATGGATCTGAGATGCAGATCTGTGTATTTGTCTTTCTTAAAGCATGATGCTGACTGAAAAATGTTGATTTTGATGTTGATAAACTGTACTATCCTCCTTATAAATAGTGACTGAACAACAGTTTTAAGAGCTGTGATTCTTCACTTCACAAACACGAGGCTCTCTTTCTTTCTGATAAATCAGTCTGGCACGGCAGATAGATATAAATACTGCTACCCATCAGCCAGTCAGAAGTGTGAATCTGAGTAGTAGCAAATTAGTTAGCAGCAAAGTGTTGTTGTCCTTGAAGTCAAAATCCAAAAGCAGAATCATTTAAGCTGTGCATTGTATTTTACATTTTTTTCAACTGTGTAATATTTACCTTTTACATACTAATATTTTTTTTGCTGAAATGCACCTTGGTAGTTGTAGTTAACTGAGCTCAACCAACCTCAAAAGGACACCTTCACTGGCCATGTCCTTTAAATTATATGGGCCATTTTGGATGCAGCTTTTGGAATCTCTCACTTTGATAGCTTGAATACTTGTTTGGAGAGACTGTTTTTTATCACTTGGAATCAATGCGTGCCCAGCTGCCTACCTGATGAACATAATTTATTCCTTTGACATTTGCTAAGGAAATAAGAGGTAGGTTCAAAGCATTAACTAAAATGGCAAATCTTTGTATCAAATATCATCTAGCTTTGATACAAGACAGATTGTTTCCATGTTTACTGCATCTATAGAATATCAGAGTTAGCAAACCAACAAGTTCTCAACACTTGAGAAAAACATATTGTTATTTTATCCTGTTTAAAGTCTATGAATGATAGTGTTGCATGCTTTAAGTGGAAAATAGCTTTTTTTTCTACAACCACAAAATGCTCCAGATACCTTAGACAGTTTTGTTTTTTATTTTTTTAGCTTAATTTAGATTAATTCGGAAACCATTAAGACTGGTCTTTCCTATGTTGTCGAAGCCTGTTGTTTGGCAGCGGCCACTTTGGTAGTGTAACTTTCTTAGGTGAGTCAACTCAGCATTTTGGTGTTATATAAATGAAATAGAACTGAATTCATTTGGGCGAGCTTGGTCACGTCTGACTCCCACTGTGCCCTTTCAAGTAACTCTCTATGCTTTGAGAATGATGCGTTTGTGGAATTGGAACAACTTGACCTCATTCTGTTGAAAGAAATCAAAGATGTGTATTTTCACACCAGACTCATCAACCTACACACCAGAGTATGGGGTGGATTTCTATTTACTTGCTGCATAAAATTTGTTTGCAATACCCCTGAAACATAATGGTTCGTATCTGTAGCTATGTTTACATTTCACTGATAATCTATTTCTCCTTTTAGCCATGGATGACATTGCCACTCTTATTAAAGAAGCACTACCAATGCGTAACACACCAGCTACTCTGCAACCCATTTTGGATGTCCTCCAAGACCTTGGGGTGGATACGGTTGAAGATTTAAAGTTTGTCCAGATAGATGACCTAGCAGGCGTGCTCAAGCCCATTCAAGCAACAAAGCTTTTTGCACACTTCAAAAGTAAGTCAAGGCCAAATCTGTAATATGATTATAATGCCACCAGTAGCATTGTTGTATGGAGTTAGATCAGTCTCAATATTAATAAATGCAAACATAAAGATTCACAAATGTATTTTAGTATTTATATATTTAAATGACTTTACAAAATACATTTTCTATTTCAGTCAGACAACTCAGGTTTGAAATGTTTATTACAGCAGTATAGCATAGTTAGATTTTGGCATCTAGGCTCTGACATCATCACTCCCCGCAGATAT